CAGCAAGATGATTATGTAAATAAAAATCTGATATTTCAAAACAAAATGTTAGGTTTAGGAATAATAAATATATTGCTTAGGATTTAAGAAAATTTGTATTATTAGAAATCTGAGAGAGAAGTCTGTCTATTCATTCTATCTTAATATATTTAACTGGTTAAGATGAAAAATAATCAAAGTGATAAGAGCACTGGATGTTTACAGCCACTATGGTAACATTTTAATCGACTAGATTTTCAAGAGTTTTTTTCAAGTGGAAGAGTGTTGATGTGTTAGGAATGTCAAAGTTTGTCAGCTTTCAAGCACTGGGATGTACTTAAAAAGAAAACGAACAGATTAAATTTATATGTGCAGTTTTCTAAAAACAGGATGGACAATTACGTGGGAACAAGACTGCTCTACTGAGGCCAAGCTAACATTATTCAAGGGTCTCTATAAGTTTTTTTATAAAATTTTACTAGATGTATAAACAAAATGACAAGATTTGTAAGATGAACTGAAACTCGAAAAAAGGTAGGTTTTAAAACTGGAGACTTGAATCAATTACTTTTAATTTATAACCCAAATAATCCTCTTTTTAAGGAAAGCCATCTTTGGGCATTAAAACTATCAAGTGAAGGGGAGACCCCGCAGAACTGTTATGTCAAAGTTAAGCACTCCATAGGGGCTTTACTGAGTTTTCATTATCATTGTTCGTGCCTTAAACGCTCTCTTTGAAACTTGCCAGGTTGAAATTATTTCGCCATTCTCCTCTGGCCATTTACAACTGCATTTTGTTTCCTGTTTTTTAAATAACTTTTTTTTTAAAGAAATTTTGGCTCCTTTTTGGGGTGCCTCTGTGGGTCAAGTTTAGGCAGTGGTGAGGTGCTTTTCTCTTTAGGCACATATGACAGCATTGTTGAAGATGTTGTATTTTAAGTACCAATGTTAGTTTTTGCTTTATCTTATTCTTCCCCATGAATTTGCCTTTAAAATAAATTATATTGTTACATCTTTTGTACCTCTGTGTATAAAGAAATTATACTGGGAACACAGAAGAGTAGCTATAGATTTAAAAAAGAATAGACAAACAATAACACCTGTATCGTGATGAGCACTGAGTAATACACAGAAATTGTTGAATCATTATATTGTATCCCTGAAACTAACATAATACTGTATATTAATTATACTTCAATAAAAAAGTAAAAAAAATAAACAGGAAAAATGCCAATTTATAGATCAACAGAATGAGTTAGAACTGAAAAGAGGATGTTTTTCATAGAATCATATGGATCAACACTGTCCAATAGAAATATAATATGAACTACATATATAAATTACAATTTTCTGGTAACCACATAAAAAAAGAGGTAAAATTAATTTATATTTTATCTAACCCCAAATATTCAAAATATTATTATTTCAATAGGTAATCAGTATTATAAAATTTTTAATAAGGTATTTCACATTCTTTTTTTTTTCCATACTAAGTCTTTGAACTCCTGCATGCATTTTCTCCTACAACACATCTCAATATAGACTAGCCACATTTCTAGTGCTCAATGGCCACATCTGACTAGAGGCTACCAAACTGGATAGAGCACAGACAGAGATGGCCGGGGAGTTGGAGACCATGTAGTTTTAATCCATCTGATTATTTTTTGGTGGGAAACCAAGGTCTAGGAAATTCAGAGCCTTACCTATGGCAAAGTCAGGATGAATACTTGGATTCCAGCACAGTGTTTTTTCCACAGTTGACAGTTCTAAGGGGAATGCAAATTCACCTCCGCAAAGGTGTGCCATCTCTCTTCCTGTCGTTTTCCCACACGCCACTGTCTAGCCTTGTTCTGAGATGCACATAACTGCTAACACGCTTTTCCATTCTGCCACTCAACCAGGAGCTTCTCCCACAGAGCTCCAAAGCAGGTACTCTACTGACATCAGTGGCAACTTGCTCTAAAATGAGGGTAGTATTTTTACTCTTTGTCGACAAGCTCTGACAACTCACTCACTTTCCTGCTTCTGTTATTTGCTATGCTGCCTGTTTAAATCAGAATGTTCGCTGAGCACATATGTGAAAAGGCTAGGATCGAGCCATATTTTTTTATAGGGTTTATTTATTATTATAATTATTGAACCTCATCTATTTGTTTCATGTTGGTCGTGCATGTGAGTCATTAGGTGTCCCCAAGGAATACAATAAAGTAAATTCTTAACTCTTGAGGAAGGAAAAAACTAAAACCAAGACCAAATTTAGCAAACCTCTGGTCTTGCCTCTTTAAAGTCCCGCAGCCTCAGGCTAGAACTGATTGAATGACCTCATCTGATTTTTACAGCCTAATAATGAAAAGCCTAAGAGATAAGATCACTAACTCAATTCATGAATCATTCCCTCTCTTTTCTGAGAAAGCTTCACAGAGGTGATGAGTTCATTCCCAGTCTCCCCCAACTGCAGTGGGACCCTGAAGCTGATGGTGCTTACCACCCACCCACCTTCGGGGGCCCTGTGAAACCAACTCAGTTGTATGAAGCCCCTACTGGGCAGTAACTCTGTTTTCTGACCTATGTTTTAAAAGGTTCTGGGCCCATTATCAATCTATGTAGGAGCAGAGAGGCTGTCATTAGATTTGATTAGCGTTAACCAACTACTGTGATAGCTCAAAAAATTGTTCTGTGAAACAGAAAAAGTCCTCCCTCTTCCCTTGTTCTATATATTTCAATTACATGAATTCCTGTCAGGCCTGTCAAAATTCTACTATGACTACAGATAATTATAAAATTATGATTCCAATTGAAAACTATTTTGTAGCATTGGTACATGTGTAAATACTTGTGACCAGTGAAGCAGAAAGACTTCAGGGTTAGTATTTTAAAAATACTGAGCTGGCTGGCTGCTGGTTCCAAAACTGGCATTCGCTGCAGTGACAGCCCACCCTTGACTCCCTGGGGCTGGCCTAGAGTAAAGTGCACGCTCACCAACAGAATCAAGATTTGCTTGCTTTTCACCTGGAGTTTGTATAGGGAGGTGATAGCCTCTGGCTACTAGGATGAAATTCAGTCAAACCTTCTCCCCACTGCTGGATACTTCCTTCCATCCTTTTCCGGGTGGAGCCTCAAGGTGAGAGGAAGTGACTGCCTCAGAAGTCCAGGGGCCAAAAGGAGGGCAGTGTTTACTACAGAAGTGTCCCAGCTTCTCTCCCCTTGTGCATCTGGCATCTCTCTCTCCCTGCAACACCTGCACTTTTTATTGTATTTTATCCTGAGTATACTTGATCGTTTCCTATTCTTAATTTTATTTTATTTATTTTATTTATTTTATTTTTTTAAAGATTTTATTTATTTATTTGAGAGAGAGAGAATGAGAGATAGAAAGCACGAGAGGGAAGAGGGTGAGAGGGAGAAGCAGACTCCCTGCTGAGCAGGGAGCCCGATGCGGGACTCGATCCCGGGACTCCAGGATCATGACCTGAGCCGAAGGCAGTCGCTTAACCAACTGAGCCACCCAGGCGCCCTCCTATTCTTAATTTTAAAGCACACAGCAGACTGTTTTATATTTCTCACTCCAAAACCACACAAAGTTAAATTGCTTTTGAGTTGGGTCATGGACTTATTTTTCCCAAGACAGGTGTCCTCGATATAAACAGAGCTTTTTACCCTTTCTCCATCGTACAGGATCAAACCACCACAACAACAGACTAACACAATTAATTTGGGAATTCCCTCTTCTCATCCCTGACCCCACTCTCCTATAATCCCAGGAAGAAGGTACAATTTCTCACCAAGCGGTATTGCCAGAAAAAAGGAAAAGAAGAAAAAGAAACATAGAGGACGACCTATAAAATGGATCAGTGGTCCCAAAATGATTTGAAAATCTTTTATCATTAGCATTCTGTTTCTTCCTTAGTCTACCGCTGTTGGGGTGATTCCCAAATTTCGTGAAGAGATTTCCACATCATTCAGTGCATAAACAAGTGGAGGGGAGGTGTTGTGTTGCAAAGGCATCTGGATGGAGGCACAAGCCCCGCTGAGTTAACTGCTTGCTGCATAATCATGGGCAAATCAATTAAATTCTACAAAGGTGAGGTTCTTAATAAAGTATGGTATTATTTTCTGGCCTCCCAACCTTATTATAAGGATCGACTAAAGTGATACCTGTAAAACTGCTCTGTAAAACTGTAACTTGCAAGTAATAATGATAGCAAACTGTTATCTTAATTATTATTATTTTTAAATACCTCCTACGTGCCAGGTACTATTTGACGTGCTTTGTATGAAAACTTACTTAATCCTTACTCTAAAGTTATTAGGTAGATCCTGTTATTTACCCTTATTTCACACACAAAAAAATGGAGGCAAACAGGTTACAGAATTTGTCCAAGATTTTAAAGGTATTAACTGGGAGAGCTCTGATCCAAACCCAGGCAGTCAAGCTCCATGCCTTATTGCTTCCAGATACAAATTTAAACTTAAAACCCTGTAATCTCAGAATAAAACTGGGAAGACTTGACAACATGCAGTACAAAGCTCACTTTTTGATAGGGAAGTCTTTATTGATAAGAATAGTTGGTAGGGCCTGAAGAAAATCAGTTGAACAGCTGAGTACAGCAAGAGATGAAGGTCCTTCTCACATGTGGACAGAACAGTGCTAAAAACCAACAAGGTACTTCAATGTAAAATTACCCTTTCAGACTTGACAAAAAAGAGGATATTAGTGTTGTGGGCAACCAGGTAAAGACCCTGAAATATGCCTAACTGACGTATCACATAGATATATTTATGCTGTATTTAGACAAACATTTATTGAAACCGTTCATGTGACCATAATTCTGCAATTAAGCCAATGGATATACCCAACGCCAGTGTAGACTACAACTGGGGTAGGACAAATATAAACTGATTGTGCAATTTCTCTTCCATCTCACCTCTAGGTGGATCACTTTAGCTCACAGATCCTGACCATTGATTTTGGTTAGCCATGGGAGGAGGGGGGCCAGGAAGTTGAGATCACCCACCCGTACCTGCTACCTGGAGAAAACCTATTGGCTTCTTTTTCCTTTTCTTTCCATTTCTTTCCCTTGTTGGAATTCCTTCGTAAAGGTGCCCTATAATGACAGCACACAGTCAGAAAGGGGAAACTGACATCTTCTCTTTTAGCTTTTTTTTTTTTTTTTTTTACAGAGGGTTTGTTTTTTACATCACGAAATGCTTACCCCAGATCCACAAACTTGCGCTTAATTTTTCCTCCTTGTACCACCAGTGTACTGGATGCCCTTAGTGATTTGGGACCTTTGGCACCATCTAGGATATACACACATGTGAAAAAGACCAATTACTATTCTTTTTAAGGCCATGAGTCAAAGTCAGTGCATCTCTGAATCTAAGGACTTTACCCCAATTCCAAAGTGTAAAGAAAATAATGTATGCCTTTCTAAAGCCACAGGAAACACGTCTATGTTGAGGAATGTTCAGTTAAGCCAGGAGAGGTCCTGCTGGACAGAGGCCCAATACCCATCACAAAGAGTTTTAGCTTCGGGGTACGTGCACCCCAATGTTTACAGCAGCAATGTCCACAATAGCCAAACTATGGAAAGAGCCAAGATGTCCATCAACAGATGAATGGATAAAGAAGATGTGGTATATATATATACA